CACTCCTCCTCGGAAGCGATCCCAGCAATCGAGTGACTGGGACGTCGCATGAATTCCAGGACATACAGCAGCACAGAAAACTGCAACACAGAGGCCTTCAGCATGGAGTATTGCAGCACATGGCGGTGCTGCACAGAAGACAGGAGTACAGAAGCCAGATGTATTGAGGGCCGCTGCATGGAGGGCTGGAGCGTGGCAGACTGCAACACAGGAGGTTCCCCGGAGGGCTGAAACACAGGGGGCGGCTGCACTAGGGCCTGAAGGACAGGCGGCTGCACTAGGGCTTGAAGTACAGGCGGCTGGAGCACGAGGGGCTGCGGCATTGAGGGCCTCGACACAGGGGGCCACTCACACAGATTTCTTCTTTAGGACGATGACGAAATCTCGCCCTACACCCTTCACTTGAACTGGAGGAACAATTCCCCCCCCCCCCCCAGGCCTGGGGAACCAGCAACAGTGGACCCAGGGGACACAGGGGAGGAAGTAGTAACAGGCAACATGGTCCCCCACACCAGGAACTGGCCCCAACTCAGTGACCGCCACCCCTGGGACACTCGCCCTCACCTCCCCCAAAGCATCAACATACCACAGAAGAGCCCCAGGCACACCAACACCACCATCGTCGGCTGGCGACGACCTCATGGAGTCATCCATGCCTGTCCAGGCAATACCACGAGGGGAAGACAAACCGAGAGCCCGTCGTGAAGGCTTCCATACTGGGCACAAGTCAACGGAACTGTTGGTGCCCCCCCCCCCCCCCCCCCGCCGAAGCACTGCAGTAGAACTCCCTGGAGGCCGCGTTAGGGCACGCATCATACGATCCTGTAACAAAGCATCCGCCTTGACCACCGGGGGGAACTGGACCGCACACCTGTGGATTCGACACCGTGTGGACGTCAACAAGGACACACACTGCAGCAGGCAACACATCGCCACAATCCGCCGAGGATACACCGGCCGGAGGAGGAGGCAGTCCGGGTGAGGGAAGCAGTGGGAGAGACTACACTCACCACCTCCGCGATGCTCCCACCGGTCGCCAGGGGATCAGCAGACCCAAGGCCAGCACGTATCACCCCCAGGATCACCCAAGATCGCAGACACATAGACCCCGGCACACTCAGAGGACTCTGGGGCCTCCTGAGGGAGAGGAAAGGGGAGGAAGTCCTCCTCCTGGAAGAGGTTCACAGGGCGTACACTGCCAGCACCGCAATCCACAGCCTGGTGCCCCGACAACTCAAATCGGAAACAAGTCCAGGGCTGGCCAGCATAAAACACCCGGACACAGAAACTCATAAGCTGGACTAACGAGGGTATAGAGGTACAAACAACAAACAAACAAAGAGAGCAACAAACTGTACACTACAGACCACAGACACATCCAATCGCAAAAGGTCCACCAGCACAACTTCAACTGCCAGGAAAGATGCCTGTCCGGTGAATTCCAGGCCAATTGTATCCTTCCGCTGGACAGGGACAAAGGCACCCCCATACCACTGGCCAGCACGTCCCCAAAACAGCACCCACTACCAAATGCTCTCAACCCTGAGCCAGCGACACATCTGTCACCACTGAGGGCCAGACAAGGAGTTAAGGATAGTGGTGGTAACAGGTGGCTAGGAATCACCAGAACGCCAGTTCAAGTCACCCCATTACCTCAAAATTATTTTCACAATATTTATTATTCTCTATTTCTACAATGAGAATTGCATATTTATAACCAATACAAAGTCTTGGAACTCATAGGCAACGTTATAAATTATGGCACAGTTGTCGGAAAACCCGACACAATTTAATAATATTACATGCAATATGCCGATAATATTGCTGCTGTTGTATACACAAGTTAACCCTTAGAATATGTAGCTTGTAGTGGAATTTTCCATCAATAGAAAACGGGATATCATTGCCACATACTACTATAAATTCACCAGCTATTCTGTTGGGAATTATTCTTAAATACTGTAGTCTTTGAACTTATAACATCATAAAAACATCTCATTTGAATTAACTTAATTATCAGTATCAAAATAGAGTAAATGTGACCCTTCTACCACATATTGACATCTGGACAAAGTGAGCCAGGAGCGTCAGTAGTGAGAGAAGTTACCCATTGTTTGTTAAGACCAGAGGCGCTGGGGAGCAAATTCAGCTCCTATAATTCTCTTGGACAAAGTGTTATGGAGATCAAATAAGTGCTCTTCCATCATCAACACACAGTCAACATAAACAAGGGAAGTGTCTTACCGAAGCCCGTTTATCTAATCATTTCTGGCCAGTTAATGTTAGGTAGATAAAGGGCGAACCAGTTAGCACGAGAAAGACTCTCTAAACACAGGTAATTAAGCCTTGGTCTTTATCTAATAATATAGAGTGTTTTCTCTGATACAGCTGTCATATATAAGGATTCCGGCTTTACAGCTAGTGCCCTTTGACAGGAACAAGAAGAGGAAGCAAGAATTAATCTTGGTACATCAGTCACTTGGGTGATGGAAGCTAGCCTCTCACGAGGATAATTTGGTGTCTACATCCTAGTTATACCTGGTGGACTAAGCCTGCTGCACAATAAGATAAGGCACGTCCTCAATTTATATACTAATATATGTAGTTTAATACTTTAGTTGGATTGGCTGCATATATATAAATTTAATATAAACCCACCCTAATGTGTAAGGATCGATTTGTGAGAATTATTGCAGAAATACAGTCCACTTAACATCATACCAATTGCTACTGAAAGATATAAATTAACGTAAATATAAATTCTATATAAATTAAATAAATATAAATCTCACAGGTTGCTTCCCACAACAGTCTCTTTCATACTCCTCTTCCCTTTACAGTATACAGTTTGTCAAGGTTTGTCACAGCTCTAGATAACGATTCGACAGTGTTAAAGTAACCTTCAAGACATCTTCCCTAAGCTGTTTTAAGACAAAGGGTCAGATAAAAGTTTGAGGGGGAATAATAACCATTTTCTGTCCTATAGCCACAAGTAATTAGCAAATAGCACTTTCTTCCCAAGGAAAAAACTAAATGTTATACACAGTGTAAGGAATCCTCCCAATATCCTCGTTTCCTTTATTTAGTTCCTTGGACCTTCACAGGCTAGGACTTTCACAGCCTAAGACCTTCATAGTCTAGAGCCTTCACAGCCTTGGACCTTCATAGTCTAGAGCCTTCACAGCCTTGGACCTTCATAGTCTAGAGCCTTCACAGCCTTGGACCTTCATAGTCTAGAGCCTTCACAGCCTTGGACCTTCATAGTCTAGAGCCTTCACAGCCTTGGACCTTCATAGTCTAGAGACTTCACAGCCTTGGACCTTCATAGTCTAGAGCCTTCACAGCCTTGGACCTTCATAGTCTAGAGACTTCACAGCCTTGGACCTTCATAGTCTAGAGCCTTCACAGCCTTGGACCTGCATCTCCTAAAAATTCCAGTCCTTTTTGATCAGTGGAGGCAAGTTACCTCTTCTTTATCTTGTTCTTGTCCTTCGTGACCAAATGGTAGTCAGAGGAAACTCTGGCATTAGATATGACACCTGAAAACGTTTGCTTCTTCCAGCAATATGACATCTGGGTTTTCTTAGTGTGAATTTTCTTTAAGTAAACTTTATTTGTAATTCTGTCTGTTTTGTGAACTTTAAAGATTCCTTTTTTCTGTGCACTCTCCCATTCACCCGTGACCATTCCACTTTTGTGAGAGGTTACTGTGTATGGTAGGGGGTTGGTGGCGGGGAGTGTTATTTGGAAGGACTATTGTTATTATTAGTCTTCACCATTATTTGGAAGGGTTATTGCAAGAAAAAGTGGTTACTGGGAACTGCAGATGACTTAGGTAGAGAGGAGGGAACTGCTGTGCATAGAGCTGGAAGTAGGTTGTCACAGGTACGGAACATCTTGGTGAGTTGAAGGAGAGTTAGTAAGTTGCTGGAGAATGAAGTGGAAGGGCCTTATTTTACTTTTCTTATTTTATTTATTTCTTATTTTACAGTTACATTGAGAGAAGTTATGGTGAATGTGATTGGGTGGAAGGGTTAGGGAATGGAGGACGGGGGCCTCCTTTAGTGCTGGGAGGTGAGAACGAGGTGCAATGGAAGGGGGGGGGGGCAAGGAGGCCGTAGAGCCATGATATCACACGGTCCATGAAACTAATTCCGGGAGTCAGAGGCTTATTAGGAATTACTTGAAGACTGTATGTACATCTGTTGTAAAGGAAAAATTGATTTTTTTATATAATGTACAAACAGAATACGGGTAAATGGGAATATTTTAAGATTAATCAGAAATAATGGACGTCCTGGTATCAAGGGGCGGGTGACCTGTTAACCTGCATGGACAGTAAAAGAACATGACGGTGGGCGCTGGAGGCTATTAACTGACGGTCGTGAAGTTTTGAGGGTTACATTCTGCCAGATGTCCAGATAAGCCACAATTATGTATTTATTCAAGTTGCTGGAGACCATAGAGTAGTTCGAGAAGCTGTTGAATAGGTATACATAAAGAGTCCAGGTTTCCTAGTATATTCATGTGTGTCTGGTAAATATTATTGCATGTGTGGGTTCTCCTTCAACATACAATTATCAGATTAAAGTATTTAGGTTTGAGATATTGCTAATGCTCTTTGTGAATGGTAAAACATATTGGTGATTGATTATTATTATTATTATATACTTGTTAAGGTACATGAAGAATAGGGAAAGTTTTATCCTGAATAATATTCCCTGTTATGTTATTTATTTGTAAATATAGGTCTTATTTACGTCACTCGACCTAGATGTTTCTATCCTTCTGTGGGGATTTCCCTGGACTTTACCAGCAAAGCTAATATCCGTCAGACATCCCTAGACGAGCTAGTGAATTCTTAACTAATCATATGATCAGAGTACTAGCCGAGGAACGCGGTCAAACACATGACTGGACATGACAAATGCAAGACCGAGACAGAGAGTAAAAACACCAACAACACAAAAGGCATGATTAGGACACAGTTAAATAATGCCCAGTATTCCAGTTTTATTAACATAATTAATGAGAATCAAAATAGTGGTACAGTTAACAAAGTGGTACACAGAGCGGTGCTACTGGCGTTGCAGAGAGTGCCGGTGCCGAGGCGAGGTGGTGGACGGCTACTGAGGAGTTGTGGCCAAAGCTCTCACAGTGGTGGTAAATCTGTAAGTCTTCTCCGATAATTGCCGGAAATGACAGGACGATCTCTGGAAGTCTTCTCAAGGCTGGCCTGAATCTAACCTGAAAGTTCGAAGGCAATAGTTTAAGTCCAAGTGAATATTTTTGTTTACTCTGTTATCTTAGATTTTGGAATAGCCTAACATAAGAAGACTATAAACATATATTCTTGTCATGATAAAAACTTTAGAAAACCTATTAGCCCATACGAAGTAGTCCCTATTTATATCCTTCCAAACTCTTTCATGTATGTCTAACTTGCACTTGAAACACTCCAGCGATTTAGGCAGGTCCGTTATGTTATGCAAACTAGTATTTACCAACGTCTTGCCTTAATAATACCATTAAATTAATATAACTTTTCTGTATCTCTTTGTTATACACTTCCACCTATTTACAAATTTTAATCTTGTCACCCCTACTCATTGTCTCTCTTTGGGAATGTAGTGAAGCTCTCTTAATCGCCTTTCATAAGGATTAACTTTGTAACCCTTGTCTGTATGCATTCAAGTGAACTTGTCTCTACTAATACTGAGACGAAAACTGAGCTGAACAGTCTATTTCGGCCCTAACATTGTCGAGGTAAAGCTAAAGAACAATATCTAACGTCTTTGATACCTGATCAACCAGGCTGTTTTTCATACGTCAGGATGCGAGCAGCCGCGTCCATCAGCCTGGTTGACCGGTTCAGCAACATTGAGGCCTGGTCGGGGACCGGGCCGCTGGGACGTTGAGCCCCGAGACCATCGCAAGGTAAGTCTCGGTTTGCTGTTGGTCTTATGTCTATCAATCTCTGGAGAGTTATTAAGGCCACACACAAACTTACTGACCAAGTAACAATTGTACTTTTGTCTTGAACATAGTCCAAGACTAATGTAAACCCTTAGTTTGTGTGCACTAATAAGTAGATGTATATTTTGGTCTATATTTCCCCAGTGTATCAACGTCTGGAGGGTTATTAAGGCAAACACAAAACAGGTAGCGGAAAAAGTTGGGTTAGATTAGGTTAGGTAGGTTAGGTAGTCGAAAAACAATAAATTCTTGAAAACTTGGCTTATTAGGCAAATCGGGCCTTGCATAGTAGGCTGAGAAGTGCGTTCTGGCTACTAGGTACGACATATATATATATATTAACCATATATATATATATATATATATATATATATATATATATATATATATATATATATATATATATATATATATATATATATATATATATGACCCAGTGCGGGTATAAAATCAACTAGTATTGTAAGATCTGTTCACTTGAGAATGAACCATGGAGGTTCGAAACGTTGTGAAAATTATATAAATAAGTGTAATACACTCTATAGTAAATCACTTCTTTTCTTCACCTTAAAAGTACGAAAATGAGTTTTGGAGAACTCCTATTTCAATTAAGCCCTGATGCTAAGAAAATAGTTAGAGGGATAGAAGCCCTAAACCAGAAAATAATAAATACAGAATATGCGGTCATATTCAATGAAACATGTTTGAAAGAAAACCTGCTGCCAGTATACACCAATATATATATATATATATATATATATATATATATATATATATATATATATATATATATATATATATATATATGCCTATACTTGCATAAACCACAAGTGAAGATTAATAATCTTTGGACAACACCCACCAGTGGGACTCGAACCCAGAAAGCACAACTACCTTCCAGTAGCTGGCATAACTAGTATGCTTTAACCCACTACGCCATCAGACCTTACAAAAGAAGTAGATAGTTCGAGATATATATATCTCAAACATCTCCACCTCCCAAAGGCACCAGATGAGTGAGGGGTCAGTCTGCATTTTTCGTCAAGCCACTGTCAATGTGAGAGAACTCGTGTCCAGCTTATAAGCCTATACTTGCATAAACCACAAGTGAAGATTAATAATCTTTGGACAACACCCACCAGTGGGACTCGAACCCAGAAAGCACAACTACCTTCCAGTAGCTGGCATAACTAGTATGCTTTAACCCACTATGCCATCAGACCTTACAAAAGAAGTAGATAGTTCGAGATATATATATCTCAAACATCTCCACCTCCCGAAGGCACCAGATGAGTGAGGGGTCAGTCTGCATTTTTCGTCAAGCCACTGTCAATGTGAGAGAACTCGTGTCCAGCTTATAAGCCTATACTTGCATAAACCACAAGTGAAGATTAATAATCTTTGGACAACACCCACCAGTGGGACTTGAACCCAGAAAGCACAACTACCTTCCAGTAGCTGGCATAACTAGTATGCTTTAACCCACTACGCCATCAGACCTTACAAAAGAAGTAGATAGTTCGAGATATATATATCTCAAACATCTCCACCTCCCGAAGGCACCAGATGAGTGAGGGGTCAGTCTGCATTTTTCGTCAAGCCACTGTCAATGTGAGAGAACTTGTGTCCAGCTTATAAGCCTATACTTGCATAAACCACAAGTGAAGATTAATAATCTTTGGACAACACCCACCAGTGGGACTCGAACCCAGAAAGCACAACTACCTTCCAGTAGCTGGCATAACTAGTATGCTTTAACCCACTATGCCATCAGACCTTACAAAAGAAGTAGATAGTTCGAGATATATATATCTCAAACATCTCCACCTCCCGAAGGCACCAGATGAGTGACGATCACAAAACACTGATCATTTTATGCGGAAAATCCACAGAGAAATATGAAAATGAGGTGAACGTTTCGGCTTGTTAAAGCCTTTGTCAACACCAGACTGACTAAGGAGAAGGGAGAAGGGGGAGGATATATAGGCCGACACCTGACCAACCCATCCCTAAGGTTGGTCAGGTGTAATTAACCAAAAACAGGTATAACTTTGCTTAGAATGGTCAAAGAGGATTAAGTGGTCAGAGAATAAGGATGAAAGATTAAAGAAAAGCCTCATGAACACACAATATATGAATATACAATTATAATGAGACATTGTAAGCCTCTCTATCAGAGTTGTTTCTTAAACTGTTGTGCAATATTATAACTTAAAAATGGATCAAGTTTGTACATTCCAGTACTAACATTAAGAAGATTTGGACACTGACTGATTAGAGCAGACTCAATCAAATTCCGTTCCACGAAATCCCCACAATTGGTAATGCTTTTTGCCCCATTCCAGTTAATATTGTGATCGCATAAACTCGTATGTAGATACAATGCATTAGACGTTTGGGCAGTTCTAATACTATAAGCATGTTGTGACAACCGCAATTGTAAGGACTTTCCTGTTTGTCCAAGGTACACAGAATCACAATCATTGCAGGGAATCGAATACACACAACCTGCTGTATCAGGGGAGTTTTTTATTAAATTGGATTTGATCGTACTATTAGTGAACACCAAATTTATATTAAGTTTCTTAAAAATCAGAGACAATTTTTCAAGTCCACTCGCATAAGGTACCACCAATGAGTTAATAATTTTTGGTTTCGCCTTAGGGACGTGATTATAAAACGTACGCTTGGCTTGTACAAACGAGAAATCCAAAAACCTCTTAGGATATTGTAAACTCTTCCCAATTTCATATATTTTAGCAATCTCTTCATCAAAAAACTCAGGGCTGCAAACACTCAAAGCTCGTAGAAACATTCCTGAAAATACTGCCTGTTTAACTTTACTATGATGATTCGAATAAAAATGAACATACGACCACACGTTGGTAGGTTTCCTATACACATTAAATTTGAACTTTCTAGTGACTCTATGAATCATAATGTCCAAAAATGGAAGAGTACCATTCTCCTCAGTCTCACAAGTGAATTTTATTGAAGGTACCAAAGAATTGAGTTCATTAAGAAAAACTATCTGGTCTTTGTTGCACGGCCATAAGCACAAAATATCATCAACATACCTAAACCAAACTACATTAGCCGGGATAATCCTGGATAAGATTTTGGTTTCAAAGAATTCAAAAGAAGGGGTCAAATTTTTCTTAATGAACTCAATTCTTTGGTACCTTCAATATATATATATATATATATATATATATATATATATATATATATATATATATATATATATATATATATATATATATATATGTCGTACCTAATAGCCAGAACGCACTTCTCAGCCTACTATTCAAGGCCCGATTTGCCTAATAAGCCAAGTTTTCATGAATTAATGTTTTTTCGTCTACCTAACCTACCTAACCTATCCTAACCTAGCTTTTTTTGGCTACCTAACCTTACCTATAAATATAGGTTAGGTTAGGTTAGGTAGGGTTGGTTAGGTTCGGTCATATATCTACGTTAATTTTAAATTAACTCCAATAAAAAAATATTGACCTCATACATAGAGAAAAGGGTTGCTTTATCATTTCATAAGAAAAAAATTATAGTAAATATATTAATTCAGGAAAACTTGGCTTATTAGGCAAATCGGGCCTTGAATAGTAGGCTGAGAAGTGAGTTCTGGCTACTAGGTACGACATATATATATATATATATATATGTATATATATATATATGTCGTACCTAGTAGCCAGAACGTACTTCTCAGCCTACTATGCAAGGCCCGATTTGCCTAATAAGCCAAGTTTTCATGAATTAATTGTTTTTCGACTACCTAACCTACCTAACCTAACCTAATCTAACTTTTTCGGTTACCTAACCTAACCTAACCTATAAAGATAGGTTAGGTTAGGTTAGGTAGGGTTGCTTAGGTTCGGTCATATATCTACGTTAATTTTAACTTCAATAAAAAAAAATTGACCTCATACATAATGAAATGGGTAGGTTTATCATTTCATAAGAAAAAAATTTGAGAAAATATATTAATTCAGGAAAACTTAGCTTATTTGGCAAATCGGGCCTTGCATAGTAGGCTGAGAAGTGCGTTCTGGCTACTAGGTACGACATATATATATATATATATATATATATATATATATATATATATATATATATATATATATATATATATATATATATATATATATATATATATATCTATATTATTAAATATGACCGAAAGAGTAAGATTAATAATTCTAACACGAATTTTCTCGATCTTTCTTACGTTTCTTTTCACTGTTGATGGTAATTCAAAGATCAATTCTCCAGAATTAATTTTTATTTCTAGTCTGACGCGACACTTGAGCGCGTTTCGTTAAACTCATTACATTTTCAAAGACTTTAGTTTACACAAACACACACAACTTTAACTGAATAGAGCTTAAACATCTTTCGAGTTTTTATACCTTCATTTGGGTGAAGTGACATGTTACAATAGTTTTGGATGAAGTGAAAATAAACTTTTAACACAAGACAGAACACGAAACAATGAAATACAAACAGGTATTAAAAGTAGATAACTGCAGAAGTCCTATTTTTATTGGCCCATATTTCTTGATGCTTCTATATTGGAGCGGAGTCTTGAAGTGGGTAGAATATAGTTGTGCATTAATTGGCTGTTGATTGCTGGTGTTGACTTCTTGATGTGTAGTGCCTCGCAAACGTCGAGCCGCCTGCTATCGCTGTATCTATCGATGATTTTTGTGTTGTTTGCTAAGATTTCTCTGGTGATGGTTTGGTTGTGAGAAGAGGCTATAGGTTCCTTAATGGAGCCATGTTGCTTATGCATCGTTAAACGCCTAGAAAGAGATGTTGTTGTCTTGCCTTTATACTGAGTTTTTTGAGGTTTACAATCCCCAAGAGGGTATTTGAAGGCATAGACGACATTGATCTCTTTTCAAACGTTCTGCTTTGTGTCTGGAGAGTTTCTCATGAGTAGGCTGGCCGTTTTTTGGTTTTATAGTAAATTGTCAGTTGTATCTTCTGATTTTTGTCTGTAGGGATAACGTTTCTACTGACAATATCTTTCAGGACCCTTTCCTCCGTTTTATGGGCTGTGGAAAAGAAGTTCCTGTAAAATAGTCTAATAGGGGGTATAGGTGAGTGTTAGTTGTCTCTTCAGAGGTTGCATGGCATTTCACTTTCCTTCTTATGATGTCTTCCACGAAACCATTGGAGAAGCCGTTGTTGAATAGGACCTGCCTTACCCTACAGAGTTCTTCGTCGACTTGCTTCCATTCTGAGCTGTGGCTAAGGGCACGGTCGACATAAGCGTTAACAACACTCCTCTTGTACCTGTCCGGGCAGTCACTGTTGGCATTCAGGCACATTCCTATGTTTGTTTCCTTAGTGTAGACTGCAGTGTGGAAAACTCCGATCCTTTCCATGACTGTTACATCTAGAAAGGGCAGCTTCCCATCCTTCTCCATCTCGTAAGTGAAATGCAACACAGAATTCTGCTCAAATGCCTCCTTCAGCTCCTGCAGATGTCTGACATCAGGTACCTGTGTAAAAATGTCGTCAACATACCTGCAGTATATGGCCGGTTTCAAGTTCATGTCGACTAAGACTTTTTGCTTGATGGTACCCATGTAGAAGTTTGCAAACAGGACACCTAGGGGAGAACCCATGGCGAAACCATCTACTTGCTTATACATGTGTCCATCCGGGCTCAAGAAGGGTGCCTCTTTAGTACAAGCTTGGAGTAGTTTCCTTAGACTGTTTTCTGGTATGTCAAGAGGAGTACAGGCCGGATCACGGTACACTCTGTCGGCTATCATCCCGATTGTTTCATCCACAGGTACGTTGGTAAACAGAGATTCTACGTCCAACGAGGCTCTTATCCCTGTGGCCCGTGTTCCCTGCAGCAAGTCAACAAATTCCTTTGGAGACTTCAGGCTGAAGGCGCAAGGGACATAAGGAGTCAGCAAGCCGTTGAGTCGTTTCGCCAGTCTGTATGTGGGTATGGGTATCTGGCTGATGATTGGCCGAAGTGGGTTTCCAGGCTTGTGTATCTTGACATTTCCATACGCATATCCAGGTTTATATTCCCCAATAATCTTTGGTAGGTGGAGTCCAGATTTCTTGGCGTTCACAGTTTCGATCAATTTGTTGACCTTTGCTTTCAGTTCGGCTGTAGTGTCCTTCGTTACCCTTTGGAATTTAGTTTGGTCAGAGAGTATGAGGTTCATTTTCGCCAGATATTCGTCTTTTTTAAGAATGACGTATATTGGCGACTTGTCGCCTCTCCTGAAAACTATCTCCTTGTTCTCACGAAGGCCTCGTAGCCTGGTGGATAGCGCGCAGGACTCGTAATTCTGTGGCGCGGGTTCGATTCCCGCACGAGGCAGAAACAAATGGGCAAAGTTTCTTTCACCTTGAATGCCCCTGTTACCTAGCAGTAAATAGGTACCTGGGTGTTAGTCAGCTGTCACGGGCTGCTTCCTGGTGGTGGAGGACCGGGCCGCGGGGACACTAAAGCCCCGAAATCATCTCAAGATCTCAAGATCTCAAGGCTCTTAGCTGCCACTTTGAGCTCGGGGGACAGTATGGTGTCTGTAGTTGCCTCGATTCTATTATATATTATTCTTTATATACTAATATTCTTTTAATATTAGTATATAAAATATACTAATATTAAAACGCACGACCAATCAGCAAGGAATCAAGCCTTCACGATAAAATATCGCCAAGATATGATTCGTGATCAGGTATACAAGGCAGAAAATGAAATCAAAGATAACAAAGCGCAACTACTTCATGCTACAAACGAATGGAGAAACAGCAACATCGACGAAAGTCTCCGTACTCGCATTGAACAACACCACGACATCCTCACAGACCGACATCACCTCAGCACTGAAACAAGGATAATCAAGAAACTAACAACGTTATATGGAGGACCTATGGCAATTCCACGACCAAGAGATGGCTTCCTGAACCTTGCAGGAATCAACCTCACTGAGGACCAAGTCACCCTCCTAAATCTGGGAATAAACTGTCACGTTATGTCTCTGTAGGGTAAGGCAGGTCCTAGTCAACAACGGCTTCTCCAATGGTTTCGTGGAAGACATCATAAGAAGGAAAGTGAAACGGCATGCAACCTCTGAAGAGACAACTAACACAACACCTATACCCCCTATTAGACTATTTTACAGGAACTTCTTTTCCACAGCCCTTAAAACGGAGGAAAGGGTCCTGAAAGATATTGTCAGTAGAAACGTTATCCCTACAGACAAAAATCAGAAGATACAACTGACAATTTACTATAAAACCAAAAAAACGGCCAGCCTACTCATGAGAAACTCTCCAGACACAAAGCAGAACGTTTTAAAAGAGATCAACGTCGTCTATGCTTTCAAATGCCCTCTTAGGGATTGTAAGCCTCAAAAAACTCAGTATATAGGCAAGACAACAACATCTCTTTCTAGGCGTTTAACGATGCATAAGCAACAGGGCTCCATTGAGGAACATATAGCCTCTTCCCACAACCAAACCATCACCAGAGAAATCTTAGCAAACAACACAGAAATCATCGATAGATACAGCGATAGCAGGCGGCTCGACGTCTGCGAGGCACTACACATCAAGAAGTCAACACCAGCAATCAACAGCCAATTAATGCACAACTATATTCTACCCACTTCAAGACTCCGCTCCAATATAGAAGCATCAAGAAATATGGGCCAATAAAAATCGGCCTTCTGCAGTTACCTACTTTTAATACCTGTTTGTATTTCATTGTTTCGTGTTCTGTCTTGTGTTAAAAGTTTATTTTCACCTCATCCAAAACTATTGTAACATGTCACTTCAACCAAATGTAGGTATAAAAACTCGAAAGGTGTTTAAGCTCTATTCAGTTAAAAGTTGTGTGTGTTTGTGTAAACTAAAGTCTTTGAAAATGTAATAAGTTTTACGAAACGCGCTCAAGTGTCGCGTCAGACTAGAAATAAAAATGAATTTTGGAGAATTGATCTTTGAATTACCATCAACAGTAAAAAGAAACGTAAGAAAGATCGAGAAAATTCGTGTTAGAATTATTAATCTTACTTTTTCGGTCATATTTAATAATATATGTCTACAGGAAAGACTGCTACCAAAATATACTAATATATATGTATGTATATATATATGTATATATATATATATATATGTATGTATATATGTATATATGTATATATATATATATATATATATATATATATATATATATATATATATATATATATATATATATATATATATATATGTATGTATAAATATATATATATATATATATATATATATATATATATATATATATATATATATATATATATATATATATATATATGTATATATATATATATATATATATATATATATTTATAAATATATATATATATATATATATATATATATATATATATATATATATGTCGTACCTAATAGCCAGAACGCACTTTTTGGACTACTATGCAAGGCCCGATTTGCCTAATAAGCCAATTTTTCCTGAATTATTATATTTTCTCTAATTTTTTTCTTATGAAATGATAAAACTACCCATTTCATTATGTATGAGGTCAATTTTTTTTATTGGAATTAAAATTAACGTAGATATATGACCGAACCTATCCAACCCTACCTAACCTAACCTAACCTATCTTTATAGGTTAGGTTTGGTTAGGTAGCCGAAAAAGTTAGGTTAGGTTAGGTTAGGTAGGTTAGGTAGTCGAAAAACAATTAATTCCTGAAAACTTGGCTTATTAGGCAAATCGGGCCTTGCATAGTAGGCTGAGAAGAGAGTTCTGGCTACTAGGTACGACATATATATATATATATATATATATATATATATATATATATATATATATATATATATATATATATATATATATATATATATATATATATGTCGTACTTAGTAGCCAGAACGCACCAGGTGTTGATCTTTGGGGTATTTAAATACTCCGAAATTACCATCTCTTTTAAGGGTCTGAGCAGGTGGTGGAGCGGGTTAAGGCGTACCTGTTATGCCAGTTGCTGGAAGGCTTCTCTGCTGGCTAGGGTTCGAGTCTCCTGGTGGGAAAGTGTTCTAAAGTTGTATACTTCACTCTCGTGTTTAGGAGAGTTGTGCCTTATATATATATATATATATATATATATATATATATATATATATATATATATATATATATATATATATATATATATGTCGTACCTAGTAGCCAGAACACACTTCTCAGCCTATTATGCGAGGCCCGATTTGCCTAATAAGCCAAGTTTTCATGAATTAATTGTTTTTCGACTACCTAACCTACCTAACTTAACCTAACCTAACTTTTTCGGCAACCTAACCTAACCTAACCTATAAAGATAGGTTAGGTTAGGTAGGGTTGGTTAGGTTCGGTCATATATCAACGTTAATTTTAACTCCAATAAAAAAAAATTGACCTCATACATAAAGAAATGGGTAGCTTTATCATTTCATAAGAAAAAAATTAGAGAAAATATACAATTACAGGAAAACTTGGCTTATTAGGCAAATTGGGCCTTGCATAGTAGGCTGAGAAGTGCGTTCTGGCTACTAGGAACGACATATATATATATATATATATATATATATATATATATATATATATATATATATATATATATATATATATATATATGTTGCACCTAGTAGCCAGAACGTCGTACTCGGCCTACTATGCAAGGCCCGATTTGCCTAATAAGCCAAGTTTTCCTGAATTAATATATTTTCTCAAATTTTTTTCTTATGAAATAACAAAGCTACCCATTTCATTATGTATGAGGTCAATTTTTTTTTTATTGGAGTTAAAATTAACGTAGATATATGACCGAACCTAACCAACCCTACCTAACCTAACCAAACTTATCTTTATAGGTTAGGTAGCCGAAAAAGTTAGGTTAGGTTAGGTTAGGTAGGTTAGGTAGTCGAAAAACATTTGATTCATGAAAACTTGGCTTATTAGTCAAATTGGGCCTTGCATAGTAGGCTGAGAAGTGAATTCTGGCTACTAGGTACGACATATATATATATATATATATATATATATATATATATATATATATATATATATATATATATATATATTATTAAATATGACCGAAAAAGTAAGATTAATAATTCTAACACGAATTTTCTCAATCTTTCGTACATTACGCTTCACTGTTGGAGGTAAATCAAAAATCACTTCTCCAAAATTCATTTATATTTCTAGTCTGACGCGACACGGGCGCGTTTCGTAAAACTTATTACATTTTCAAAGACTTCACAAATACACAACTGATTAGAACTTGCGTTTCTCTGATTTTATATCTACATTTGAGTGAGGTGGGAAGGGTGATGTGGCATTAACACAAGACAGAACAATAGGGGATATTAATAGGGTATTAAAAGTATCAACACAAGACAGAACAGAAACAATGGGTATTGAATAGAAGTGTTTGTAGAAAGCCTATTGGTCCATATTTCTTGATGCTTCTATATTGGAGCGGAGTCTTGAGGTGGGTAGAATATAGTTGTGCAATAATTGGCTGTTGATTGCTGGTGTTGACTTCTTGATGTGTAGTGCCTCGTAAACGTCAAGCCGCCTGCTATCGCTGTATCTATCGATGATTTCTGTGTTGTTTACTAGGATTTCTCTGGCGATGGTTTGGTTATGGGAAGAGATTATATGTTCCTTAATGGAGCCCTGTTGCTTATGCATCGTTAAACGCCTAGAAAGAGATGTTGTTGTCTTGCCTATATACTGCGTTTTTTGGAGCTTACAGTCCCCAAGTGGGCATTTGAAGGCATAGACGACGTTAGTCTCTTTTAAAGCGTTCTGTTTTGTGTCTGGAGAGTTTCTCATGAGTAGGCTGGCCGTTTTTCTGGTTTTATAGTAAATCGTCAGTTGTATCCTCTGATTTTTGTCTGTAGGGATAACGTTTCTATTAACAATATCTTTCAGGACCCTTTCCTCCGTTTTATGAGCTGTGGAAAAGAAGTTCCTGTAAAATAGTCTAATAGGGGGTATAGGTGTTGTGTTAGTTGTCTCTTCGGAGGTTGCATGGCTTTTCACTTTCCTTCTTATGATGTCTTCGATGAAACCATTGGAGAAGCCGTTATTGACTAGGACCTGCCTTACCCTACAGAGTTCTTCGTCGACTTGCTTCCATTCTGAGCTGTGGCTGAGAGCACGGTCGACGTATGCGTTAACAACACTCCTCTTGTACCTGTCAGGGCAGTCGCTGTTGGCATTTAGGCACATTCCTATGTTTGTTTCCTTAGTGTAGACTGCAGTGTGGAAACCTCCGCCTTTTTCATGACTGTTACATCTAGAAAAGGCAGCTTCCCATCCTTTTCCGTCTCGTAAGTGAAACGCAGCACGGAACTCTGCTCAAATGCCTCCTTCAGCTCCTGCAGATGTCTGACATCAGGTACCTGTGTAAAAATGTCGTCAACATACCTGCAGTATATGGCCGGTTTCAAGTTCATGTCGACTAAGACTTTTTGCTCGATGGTACCCATGTAGAAGTTTGCAAACAGGACACCTAGGGGAGAACCCATGGCGACCCCATCTACTTGCTTATACATGTGCCCATCTGGGCTCAAGAAGGGTGCCTCTTTAGTACAAGCTTGGAGTAGAGTCCTCAGAATACTTTCTGGCATGTCAAGAGGAGTACAGGCTGGATCACGATACACTCTGTCGGCTATCATTCCGATTGTCTCGTCCACAGGTACGTTGGTAAACAGCGATTCTGCGTCCAACGAGGCTCTTATCCCTGTGGCCCGTGCGCCCCGCAGTAAGTCCACAAATTCCTTTGGAGACTTCAGGCTGAAGGCGCAAGGAACATAAGGAGTCAGCAGGCCGTTGAGTCGCTTCGCCAGTCTGTACGTGGGTGTGGGTATCTGGCTAATGATTGGCCGAAGTGGGTTTCCAGGCTTGTGCGTCTTGACATTTCCATACGCATATCCAGGTTTATATTCCCCAATGATCTTTGGCAGGTGGAGTCCGGATTTCTTGGCGTTCACAGTTTCGATCAGTTTGTTGACCTTTGCTTTTAATTCGGCTGTAGTGTCCTTCGTTACCCTTTGGAACTTAGTTTGGTCAGAGAGTATGATGTTCATTTTCGCCAGATATTCGTCTTTTTTAAGAATGACATATATTGGCGACTTGTCACCTCTCCTGACAACTATCTCCTTGTTCTCACGAAGGCTTTTAGCTGCCGCTTTAAGCTCGGGGGACAGTATGGTGCTTCTGTAGTTGCCTCGATTCTTTCCTCCTTCTGCAATAAGTTCTGCTTGTAAGGTATCTTTGGTAGTGACCTTCTTTTGTGTCTCGAGGTCGAATATGTCGTCCAACAGAATTTCCAACTCTACTTTCCGGGCCATTTCACTCGGTCTGGACATAACATGACAGTTTATGCCCAGATTTAGGAGAGTGACTTGGTCCTCAGTGAGGTTAATTCCTGCAAGGTTCAGGAAGCCATCTCTTGGTCGTGGAATTGCCATAGGTCCTCCATATAATGTTGTTAGTTTCTTGATAATCCTTGTTTCAGTGCTGAGGTGATGTTGGTCTGTGAGGATGTCGAGGTGTTGTTCAATGCGGGTACGGATACTATGGTCGATGTTGCTATTTCTCCACTCGTTTGTAGCATGAAGTAGTTGCGTTTTGTTGTCTTTGATTTCATTCTCTGCCTTGTATATCTGATTTTTGATTTACCTCCAACAGTGAAGCGTAATGTACGAAAGATTGAGAAAATTCGTGTTAGAATTATTAATCTTACTTTTTCGGTCATATTTAATAATATATGTCTACAGGAAAGACTGCTACCAAAATATACTAATGTTAAAGTGCACGACCCAGCAGCAAGGAATCAAGCCTTCACGATAAAATATCGCCAGGATCTGATTCGTGATCAGATATACAAGGCAGAGAATCTGCAGGAGCTGAAGGAGGCATTTGAGCAGAGTTCCGTGCTGCGTTTCACTTACGAGACGGAAAAGGATGGGAAGCTGCCTTTTCTAGATGTAACAGTCATGGAAAAGGGTGGAGGTTTCCACACTGCAGTCTACACTAAGGAAACAAACATAGGAATGTGCCTAAATGCCAACAGCGACTGCCCTGACAGGTACAAGAGGAGTGTTGTTAACGCATACGTCGACCGTGCTCTCAGCCACAGCTCAGAATGGAAGCAAGTCGACGAAGAACTCTGTAGGGTAAGGCAGGTCCTAGTCAATAACGGCTTCTCCAATGGTTTCATCGAAGACATCATAAGAAGGAAAGTGAAAAGCCATGCAACCTCCGAAGAGACAACTAACACAACACCTATACCCCCTATTAGACTATTTTACAGGAACTTCTTTTCCACAGCTCATAAAACGGAGGAAAGGGTCCTGAAAGATATTGTTAATAGAAACGTTATCCCTACAGACAAAAATCAGAGGATACAACTGACGATTTACTATAAAACCAGAAAAACGGCCAGCCTACTCATGAGAAACTCTCCAGACACAAAACAGAACGCTTTAAAAGAGACTAACGTCGTCTATGCCTTCAAATGCCCACTTGGGGACTGTAAGCTCCAAAAAACCCAGTATATAGGCAAGACAACAACATCTCTTTCTAGGCGTTTAACGATGCATAAGCAACAGGGCTCCATTAAGGAACATATAATCTCTTCCCATAACCAAACCATCGCCAGAGAAATCCTAGTAAACAACACAGAAATCATCGATAGATACAGCGATAGCAGGCGGCTTGACGTTTGCGAGGCACTACACATCAAGAAGTCAACACCAGCAATCAACAGCCAATTATTGCACAACTATATTCTACCCACCTCAAGACTCCGCTCCAATATAGAAGCATCAAGAAATATGGACCAATAGGCTTTCTACAAACACTTCTATTCAATACCCATTGTTTCTGTTCTGTCTTGTGTTGATACTTTTAATACCCTATTAATATCCCCTATTGTTCTGTCTTGTGTTAATGCCACATCACCCTTCCCACCTCACTCAAATGTAGATATAAAATCAGAGAAACTCAAGTTCTAATCAGTTGTGTATTTGTGAAGTCTTTGAAAATGTAATAAGTTTTACGAAACGCGCCCGTGTCGCGTCAGACTAGAAATAAAAATGAATTTTGGAGAAGTGATTTTTGATTTACCTCCAACAGTGAAGCGTAATGTACGAAAGATTGAGAAAATTCGTGTTAGAATTATTAATCTTACCTTTTCGGTCATATTTAATAATATATGTCTACAGGAAAGACTGCTACCAATATATATATATATATATATATATATATATATATATATATATATATATATATATATATATATATATATATATATATATATATATATATATATATATATATATATATATATATATATATATATATATATATATATATATATATATATATATATATATATATATATATATATATATATATATATATATATATATATATATATATATATATATATATATATATATATATATATATATATATATATATATATATATATATATATATGTCGTACCTAATAGCCAGAACTCACTTCTCAGCCTACTATTCAAGGCCCGATTTGCCTAATAAGCCAAGTTTTCATGAATTAATGTTTTTTCGTCTACCTAACCTACCTAACCTAACCTAACGTAGCTTTTTTTGGCTACCTAACCTAACCTTACCTATAAATATAGGTTAGGTTAGGTTAGGTAGGGTTGGTTAGGTTCGGTCATATATCTTCGTTAATTTTAACTCCAATAAAAAAAATTGGCCTCATACATAGAGAAAAGGGTTGCTTTATCATTTCATAAGAAAAAAATTATAGTAAATATATTAATTCAGGAAAACTTTGCTTATTAGGCAAATCGGGCCTTGAATAGTAGGCTGAGAAGTGAGTTCTGGCTACTAGGTACGACATATATATATATATATATATATATATATATATATATATATATATATATATATATATATATATATATATATATATTAAACTTAATTTCACTCATAGAAAATAGATACACCAATAGAAAATGTGGACTCAAGCTGACGAGGTTGAGAACTTACGACATTCTCCTTTGTAATCAACTTTGAGATTAAGGTGAGGGAACTTGCAGGCTTCGACTCCCAGGCCACATGCGTTACCGTAAGTCTTCCCGTCTGTGCCACACACAGGGTCGTAGTTATATGGGCAGGCACCCGGGCATTGATTTGCTGGGCCTGGAAAATGAAGTCACTTGTAGCACAGAGACAATGATGTGCGATGATCCTACTAGCAGTCGTTGCAGGTTCAACAAGATGTTATATACAGAATGTGTAATATATATGCGGGAAAACCAAATGTAAATGGGAAAGGTGAATGTTGGACGTTTCGGCTGGACAGAGCCTTTCTTGGCAACAGACTGGCTAAGGGCAGCAGAGGGAGGCTGGACGCCAAAGTCTGCGACCTGACCACCCATCCCCAGGGAGAGATGTAGCCAGAAACAAGGGATTGCTGACGGGGGGGGGGGGGGGGGCTAGAAATAGCTTAAGCTACTCCATTCTTTTGAGATGTATTTTCTTGTCCCAATAAACATACTTGAAATTGAACAAGGGATAGAGTAGTCTAGAACAATCCAGAAGAAACAAGAGAGGTCAGAGCATAAGTATGAAAGACCGTAAGTATTGAAGAACAAAAAAAACTTCAGGAAACAAATACATAATATTTGAATTATAATAGTAAATAAATTAATATAGTATAAATAATAAATCGTGAAGAGCAGACAGAATTATTCATTTATCAGAAACGAGCATCAACATTTAGGCCTGCAAATGGCATAATAACCGATATACTTAAAAACTTGTAACTGAAGGGAACTCGAGAAATATGTATATTTAAGATGTGAACTATTTAAAGATAATGGGAAACTAAATGTTAAAATTCATCCAAAGAAACGGAATATATACAACTATGGTAAACTTTACAGAAATGTCAAGACGCCCGAAACCAAGGGGTCGATTTGTACTAAGTGTTAATTTGCAGGCTAAGGGTAGACTAGAGTATGTTAGACATACTAGGTTTTAAAATGTTATATAGCTGGTCAGTGAACCAGTTATATAACAGTGATTATTAGTGTTTTGGTGACATAATTTTCATGTATTATTGAACATTCTCTTACAATGATTTCTGATATATTGTTGTGTACTTTGATATTTTACAGTTCCATGATAAGATGCTACTGTGTTTCGTTCGTGTTTTGCTTGACGGGTGTTATAAGTATACCGCTATATATCAGTTTATTACGGAAGATGTCACAATAATGTGGCTGAAGATATGACCAAACCATATATCAGAGGATGAAGAAATGACGTTTCGTTCCGTCCTGGACACACACACATGATAATGGTCCAGTACGGACCGAAACGTAGTCGTTTCTTCATCTTCTGGTATGTGATTCGGTCATCGGTCAATTTCCCTTGTCTTTGCCAGTGGCAAATACTTATCACGAGTGTTTTCAGTTAGAATCATTGCGGTGCGTGTTGCAAGTGGCTGAGACCAAGGTCACTCTATACACTGTAGCCCCGTGGGCCCGCCCCATTCTGGGTGTGCCCGTTTTTCCCTTTGTAGCTCTGATACTCTCTCTACTAACGTGAAGGATCCATGTGTTTTAGCGATAAGGTTTTGTAATAAACTAGTGTTATGTTACATACGCAAGATTACGAGAGCATAGTGGAAGAGATCATTACTCTGTGTAGTTTCCTCTATTATTTTGGCTATTTGGGTAACTCAACCTGGGCTATTATTGCAAGTGCAATGGCAGATCTATGAGAACCCAGTCATTACGCGAATATTATATTTCGTATTGATAAATATTTGACTAAGTTAGAATGTTTATATTAGGCCATAAGTAATTTACGAAGCTAATCTTACCAAAATATTTAAATTTTAACAACTCTGTCTAACGTATGTAAAACAAATATGAAAAAAAACACTCATAACAATATTCAAATTGATTATTTTTTTTACTATTTTATCTAAATAAGAACATATACAAATACATTTTAAACAAAACGGACCTTGCTACTAGTCTGTCTTTGCGAGTCTCAATACAAGAAATAAATTAAGATAACCTCAAAACGACCTAAATTTATAGCCGAAAAATTTGTGCAATACACAGAGATAAATAAAAATATATAAATAGAAATCAAAATTAATAGATACAATTTGACGAAGATAAGAACTCACGACAACTTCCTTCATAAGCGACTTTGAGTTTGAGTTGAGGGTTATTGCAGGCTTTGATTTTCAGGGCACAGGAGTTGCTGTAAGTCTGGCCGTCTGTACCACACACCGGGCGGTAGTCAGCTGTGCACACGTCCGAGCACCGAGGCCTTGGTCCTAGAAAGTGAAGTCGCTTGTAATTTGGTTGTATTAGTGACTTGTTAGCTCCCAGGGTAGTTGAGATGGTTACAGCTCCCAGGGTAGTTGAGATGATTACAGCTCCCAGGGTAGTTGAGATGGTTACAGCTCCCAGGGTAGTTGAGATGGTTACAGCTCCCAGGGTAGTTGAGATGATTACAGCTCCCAGGGTAGTTGAGATGGTTACAGCTCCCAGGGTAGTTGAGATGGTTACACCGTTGAAGGTTGTATGGAGTTAAAATGATTACAACGTGGAAAGTAGTGTAGCAGTGATAAAAAGATGGGAATTTCAGCGATGAAGGCCATGTGTAGTGTAGATGGTTACAGTGATAAAGGTTGTGTGTAGATGGTTACAGTGATAAAGGCCGTGTGTAGTGTAGATAGTTACAGTGATAAAGGCCGTGTGTAGTGTAGATACGGCCTCCGTCACCCAAGCATCGCCGGTATCCCTCCCTCCTCTAGTATAAAATATTTATTTTTTTGTAATAAATATTACATTGTTATATAAGCATAATCCCGAAATAATAATTTAAAACAATGAATTTAAATGCGCAAATAAATCAAGATTATCGTGATGTGTTAATGATCAAATCAGCAGGAACCATTGGGGGGAGGATTCGAGCCCGCACAAGCTGTGTATACTCCCAAGCACACGCCTTGGTGGTCTTAAGACGTGTGCTTGGGAGTACCTACTGTGCACGTTCGAATCCTTCTCATGTCACCCACTGATTTTCTCAGTTATAAAGTAGTTTTATCCAGGACGATTGAGCACAGTAAAATACCCTGAGTTCATCACACAAAATAAATGATACCATAAAACAGTTTAATACTTATGATGCAAGAGTGATAAAGCCTAATTTTATCTGCAGTAATACAAATTGCTGCTTAATTTTATATAATAAAGACTAACATGATAAATTAATACTATCACTAATATATAACAATATTAATAAAGCTTAGAATGAGATTGATGAATACAATTAACAGAGAATTAGTTTCAGAACCAATATTTGTCTTCTACAAGTAAACTAGCATGACACGCAGTACGCTAGACGACGCAAGCAAACTCAGTAACAAAGAAGCTGCAGATATATTAAGCATAAGAATGAACAAACGACAAATTTCCGATAACTTACGTTTAGCGGACACTAGAGGGCCACAAGCCACCAGCAGGAGGAGGAGGGCGGAGGTGAAGGCCAGGGAACCCATCGTTGTCACAAGTCTTCACAAGGTGGCAGAACACAACCTTGGGAGAGAAAAGTAAGACATTGTTGACCCCCGCTGTTGCTACCACGACCTGAGACCCTTACCCATGTCTGGTGGAGTGTCTACCACAACCACCATTACTGCTACCACGACCTGAGACCCTTACCCATGTCTGGTGGAATGTCTACCACAACCACCATTACTGCTACCACGACCTGAGACCCTTACCCATGTCTGGTGGAGTGTCTACCACAACCACCATTACTGCTACCACGACCTGAGACCCTTACCCATGTCTGGTGGAATGTCTACCACAACCACCATTACTGCTACCACGACCTGAGACTCTTACCCATGTCTGATGGAGTGTCTACCACAACCACCATTACTGCTACCACGACCTGAGACCCTTACCTATGTTTGGTGGAGTTTACCACAACCACCAGTGAAGAGCAGAGGTGCCATGGACACAATCAGAGAACACTGTATGAACATCAGAGGTCCACGGTTGTTCAACGTCCTACCAGCGAGCATCAGAAATATTGCAGGAACAATCGTGGACATCTTCAAGAGGAAACTAGATTGTTTCCTTCAATGAGTGCCGGACCAACCGGGCTGTGGTGAGTATGTGGGCCTGTGGGCCGCTCCAAGCAACAGCCTGGTGGATCAAACTCTCACAGGTCAAGTCTGGCCTCGGGCCGGGCTTGGGGAGTAGAAGAACTCCCAGGTCCCCATCAACCAGGTAACCAGGTATCAACCAGGTAACCAGGTATCACCATTACTGCTACCACGACCTGAGACCCTTAGTGGCATGTTTGGTGAAGTGTCTACCACAACCACCATTACTTCTACCACGACCTGAAACCCTTAGGTGCATGTTTGGTGGAGTGTCTACCACAACCACCATTACTTCTACCACGACCTGAAACCCTTAGGTGCATGTTTGGTGGAGTGTCTACCACAACCACCATTACTTCTACCACGACCTGAAACCCTTAGATGCATGTTTGGTGGAGCGTCTACCACAACCACTGATACTGCTACCATGACCTGACACTCTTAGGGACATGGGAACCTTAGGTACCATCACTTCTGCTGCCATCACAACCATCATCACTGAATGTGCCATCACCCACTACTCCGGGCCAGTTACTGAGAATACCTGAACATATAATTATCTATAATAAGAACCAAGGTTAAAACTAGGGTCTGGTGTTTGCTAGTTTTATAGTGAGTTAATGTTTAAACGCAAAGGCAAGTAAGGGGCATGAAAGGCTTGACGACTCCATCATTATCAAAGTAGATTCCAAATGTCCAGAAACTCAACTTCTTACCTGTAACTCCTATTGTGGCGGCGGGACTGACAGTGTGGCTGTGGCTCTCACGCCTTTTATACCCTTGCCATATGCGGGGCTGCCAGACGTTGAAACTAACACTGATACGATTTTGTAATGGAATTAAGACCTATTGACCACACTAGTTTATTGACCAATCAGCAATAATATTTTAGACCTGAACAATGTCTAGGACTAAAGCAAACTCTTTAAGTGTATATGCACCTAGAAGACATGCTGTACCATCATCAGATTTCAGAAATTCCTTAAAATTCATTCAATGTTTTGTTACATAAGGAGTATATGGGAGCGTTTTTTTACGGTTAAAAGCAGCTTCTGAAACTTTCCTAGAGTGAGGGAAGCGAGAGAAATTTCCCCAGAAGCCGGCCCCTGTAATGAGGCGTTTGTGTATTACCCTAAATGTGTGGTACGGAATCGAGCGTCAGCTCTTGACCCCCACCTTGCGACTCACTAGTGGTTTACTGCATTGCCATAAGGCTACTATACAGGCTTTCTGTCCCCGACAATGGGAATTATTTAAGAGTTTGTGGGTGAAATTCTTTGTATTATCTTTGTGGTTTATCTGTGTCTCTTGTTTTATTCTTTGTCTTTCCGTCTGTGTTTCTTGTTTCCGTCTGTGTCTCATGTTTCCGTCTGTGTCTCATGTTTCCGTCTGTGTCTCATGTTTCCGTCTGTGTCTCATGTTTCCGTCTGTGTCTCATGTTTCCGTCTGTGTCTCATGTTTCCGTCTGTCTCCTCGTATTACTGTTCCCTTTACTACCTGTGTAATATTATCAGAGAATAAGTCACTATAACGGAACTGAAACCTATAACCCAATCCTAATACATGAAGTGAAATAAAAGCGACATTTAGGCCCGTCGTGGACCCCTAATGTGACGACATTTCAGTCCGCCGTGGACCCTTATGTGACAACGTTTCAGTCCGCCGTGGACCCTTATGTGACAACGTTTCAGTCCGCCGTGGACCCTTATGTGACAACGTTTCAGTCCGCCGTGGACCCTTATGTGACAACGTTTCAGTCCGCCGTGGACCCTTATGTGACAACGTTTCAGTCCGCCGTGGACCCTTATGTGACAACGTTTCAGTCCGCCGTGGACCCTTATGTGACAACGTTTCAGTCCGCCGTGGACCCTTATGTGATAACGTTTCAGTCCGCCGTGGACCCTTATGTGACAACGTTTCAGTCCGCCGTGGACCCTTATGTGATAACGTTTCAGTCCGCCGTGGAACCTAATGTGACAACGTTTCAGTCCGCCGTGGACCCTTATGTGATAACGTTTCAGTCCGCCGTGGACCCTTATGTGACAACGTTTCAGTCCGCCGTGGACCCTTATGTGACAACGTAAATTACAACGGTGATTACATTCATCACAATGTAATCACAATGGTTGTACTCTTCAAATCACTTGTGTTGTCCCGTCTCGAGTACTGTTCAGTACTCACTTCCCCCTTCAGAGCAGGAGAGATTGCTGAAATAGAGGGAATACAGAGAACATATACGGCACGCATAGACGAGATTAAGCACCTAAATTATTGGGATCGTCTCAAAGCTCTCCAAATGTACTCACTAGAAAGTAGACGAGAGAGATACCAAATAATATACACATGGAAAATACTGGAGGGACAGTTCCCAAATCTGCACAGTAAAATAACAACGTACTGGAGTGAACGACATGGAAGAAAATGCAGAATAGAACTAGTGAAGAGCAGAGGTGCCATGGGCACAATCAGAGAACACTGTATGAAAATCAGAGGCCCACGGTTGTTCAACGTCTTACCAGCGAGCATCAGAAATATTGCAGGAACAATCGTGGACATCTTCAAGAGGAAACTAGAGTGTTTCCTTCAAGGAGTGCCGGACCAACCGGGCTGTGGTGGATATGTGGGCCTGCGGGCCGCTCCAAGCAACAGCCTGGTGGACCAAACTCTCACAAGTCGAGCCTGGCCTCGGGCCGGGCTTGGGGAGTGGAAGAACTCCCAGAACCCCATCAACCAGGTATCAACCAGGTAACGTTTCAGTCCGCCGTGGACCCTTATGCGACAACGTTTCGGTCCGCCGTGGACCCTTATGTGACTACGTTCAGTCCGCTGTGGACTCTTATGTGACGACTTTCAGTCCGTCGTGGTCCCTTATGTGACAACGTTTCAGTCCGTCGTGGACCCTTATGTGACAACGTTTCAGTCCGCCGTGGACTCTTATGTGACGACGTTTCAGTCCGTCGTGGACCCTTATGTGACAACGTTGCAGTCCGTCGTGTACCCTTATGTGACGACGTTTCGGTCCGTCGTGGACCCTTATGTGACGACGTTTCGGTCCGTTGTGAACCCTTATGTGACGACGTTTCGGTCCGCCGTGGACCCTTATACGATGACGTTTCAGTCCATCGAGGGCCCTTATGTGACGACATTTCGATCCGTCGTGTTCCCTTACGTGACGCCGTATCAGTCTGTCGTGGACCCTTATGTGACGACGTTTCAGTCCGTCGTGGACCCTTATGTGACGACGTTTCGGTCCGTCTTGCACCCTTTTGTGATGACGTTTCGGTCCGTCTTGGACCCTTATGTGATGACGTTTCGGTCCGTCTTGGACCCTTATGTGACGACGTTTCGGTCCGTCTTGCACCCTTATGTGATGACGTTTCGGTCCGTCTTGGACCCTTATGTGACGACGTTTCGGTCCGTCTTGGACCTTATGTGACGACGTTTCGGTCCGTCGTGGACCCTTATGTGACGACGTTTCGGTCCGTCTTGGACCCTTATGTGACGACGTTTCGGTCCGTCGTGGACCCTTATGTGACGACGTTTCGGTCCGTCGTGGACCCTTATCAAATCGTCAGGTGACGATCATGTGGTTTATTACGCTCATTACGGTAGAGCAACGGTCTTGCGTCATGCAGGTCGGCGTTCAATTCCCGACCGTCCAAGTGGTTGGGAACCATTCCTTTTCCCCATCCTATTCCAAATCCTTAATCTGATTGATTGATTGATAAAGATTAAGCCACTCAAGAGGTGGCACGGGCATGAATAGTCCGTAAGTGGTACAATTTTTTGTTCAGTAAATGTATTCAGTGGGCTGAGGTCGCATTTAATCGTCAGACTTTTATCGCGTGGGAGGATACTGCTTGACAGTATTTATGAGGGTGTCCAGCTGTCCAGCTGCTGGACACCTGCAAGATTCTTAAAGCTCTTCTAAGACCGTTTGATGCTTCACATTTCAGGAGATGGTGAAGTAGTGGTTTCTCTGTGACTGTTTGGCAGAAGATTAACCTGACCCCTTCCCAGTGCTATATAGTCGTGGTGGCTTGGCGCTTTCCCCTGATAATTCCCTCCCTCCCTCTCACGCTCATTCATTCATAAAATATTATAACACCCGGTTCCTTCAGTCATTCCACTTAATTTAATCCCTTCGGTTCAGGAACTGGTGTTGTGGAATGTTGAGCTTCTCCAAGTTGGGGTTCCATGTTGGGAATATTTACTCAAGACTGAATCTCACATCATGGAAGCTGGGTGGTGGAAAAACTTGTCAGGTTCCTATGATAGAGTGAAAGAGATGAAGTGGAAGAGGTTGGTTTGACTGCATATTCCTTGACACTCCTAAGGCCTTCCGTACAGTGCTTGACTGTGGGCTCACGTACACTGTGAAGATAATGGCTGGAGTGTCAGGGGCGGTACTCACTGGCTGAAGGAGATCTTCCTGTAGAAGAAGTTAACACTGAGAGCGGATATGTCAGATGGGAGTAGTGAAACAGCCAATGATAAACATACATAATATTATATATTATTATTATTATTAATATTATTATTATGATATAATAAGTGAAGTTTCTCAATAGAAAATCCTTGGGCCCATCCTGTTTGTACTGCAAGATAATAATAATCAGTACAACAACACACATGACAGCTCTCTTCTGTTTCTTGATGCTTCCAAGACATGTGACAAAAGATGAATAAAATTAGCTTTAAAATAAATCTGTTGATCCATAACGGTTAACCTGCAATTGCTAGATACCTTTACATATATCATCAGATCTGCGAAGAAGAAGCTGTGAAATGTTAGTGTTCACCCTTAAACACTTTATCACGAAGAATTGTGGTGAAACAATCAGCTGGGCTTGATGCACATGACAGTGTGCATCAAGCAGTGTTTCTAAAGGAGAGACATTGCACATCTATATTTGTGGGTCCTTCTTATATACAACACACAACTCAACTCCATTACAGTACTTTACTGCAAGGTATTTATAAAAAGGGAAACACCTGGGCAGAGAAAAAGGATGTATCAGATACGAGTTAACACCTAAAGAAGTGGAGATTTCCAGGGATATAAATACGACATACAAAATACTTACAGGCATTGATAAGGTCAACAAATGACAGAAACAGGAAGTGCGTTACACGTGTGAACTCATACAAGCCATATGCATATACATATATCTATATGTGTGAATATCACGAAAATGATAATGTGATGAAAAATGTGACAGTGTCAGACCACGAAGGAAGAATTGAAACAGTAATTTCCTTAAGTACTTTCGTATTTAACAATACATCTTCAGAAGGGTGATTTACAATTCAATAGATTTGGAGATATATAAGCAGGAGAGAGGTGAAGTGTAGTGAGGTACAATGATAAATATATTAATGGGATTGGGTGGATATAAATAAGAGCTGCATAATATGGGCTAATAGGCCCATACGTTGATATTAAACACATAAGATAGTGGATATTAACAATAAATTAGTGAGACAAATGTGTATCAATGGTTGTACTCAAATAGCCCTTTAACTGATCAATCAAAAATGGATCGAAATTATACAAACCACTGCTAATATTCAAATTACATAATTTTTTTATCTGTATTAAAGCAGATTCAATTATGTTCCTATTGAAAGTGAAGAAGCCATCTCTCAATCAATTTGGTGAGAATTTTCTGACAAATGAACATATAAAGCATTAGACAATTGGCCATCTCATACATTTATGTTGCGAAATTCTACATTTCAAATCTTTAGGTGTTTGCCCAACATAGAATCTATTACA